CAGATGGACGGCTCAGAATTGCGTTTTTCCACTTCCTACACCCTATACAAGATGAATTAAATTAATTTTTTTTGGCATTTTCGTTTTTCGCGATTATCTCGGAAACTATGTGATCCGATCAATTAGGCCTCTAAAGATGGTTTTGAACCAGGGGAGACTCCTAGAGCCCACTGGACAATGTTGTCACAATTGCGCTTTTCAATTGAAAACAGACATCATCTTTAGAGACAATTGTCATCTTTAAAGACTTCTGCACGCCATTTTTCGAGCCGCTCTTTCATTTGACCCAAAAAAAATTAATAAATAACGAATGTCTGAAAAACAATTCAGTGCACAGTGTAATTTGAATGACGCTCAAGATTTACGATTTTTTTCAATTTTTTCTCACGCAATTTAATTGACAAATTTGATGATTGTAAATAATTGAATCTATAGTTTGGTCTGCACCAAACTGTAAAACATACTTGGATATCCCAAAAAGAAAGTCCACATAACAGTTGTTTTTTCAAGCTCATGTGAAAATCTCTTTCCCTCGAAAATCGACATAATTTACAATTCCCCCCCCCCCCCACCCGCTGAAATCTCTGGAAATACGTCCAGAGAAATTCTCAAGGTACATAGTAACTGGGTAAGTGAGCTACTTGGGACATGGAGTTTGGGAAACTCGTGTAAAAGGCAAAGGCGACTGCATACACATACTGTAGACTGAAACTTTGGAAAGTGGACCGGGTAAATCCGAAAGCCCTCTCCCCCCATATCCAGTTCCTTTCGACGTCCGGCGTGTAGTCCAGGACCTTCACTTACCCCCTCCCCCTCCGCCCCCCTCCCCCCTTGAACGGGGTAAATTACATTTAGCCCAGAGGGCTTTATCCCTCTCTGTTCAACTCCTCGTTCAGTTGCTGAAGTGAACAGGACACTTGCCGTCGCACGAATCGGCTTTCTCCAAATTAACTTGGTCACCTACAGGTATACACAATTGTTGGGCATTGCGGGGTATACTTGTACGCATTGTCCAGAATGGCAACGGAAATTTACTTGGTCAACAATTGTTCGGACACACATACTCTCGGGGGAATTTTCTTAATTGAAAGATTCGGGGAGGTTATTTTGGTGGTTTAACGGAGACCAGGGGGGGTTGATTGTGTTCTCTTAGGGTTCAATGGGGTAGTTTTGGGGGGAATTGATAGCAGGGAGAGGGGAATGGATAGCGGTGATTTTCAGGGATAATTAAGGAATCTTGATGCGCGTGAGTCAGGGAGATTTGGGAGGGAGCCAGCAAAAGTGGGGCAGAACGGTGCAATTTGGACAAATTTACAAGTTTTTGTAGGTTGCGAAAAATGCTTTAAATTGACTCTAAATTTTTTGAATTTCACTCTGCCGATGCCGAGTTATCGATAAGTGAAAATTATCGCGCACGCCTTGGACTCAAAAACTGCTTCTTGATTCGCTTTAACTTAAAATGATGCAATTCGAATAAATTTGTAGGTTTTTGTAGTTTATGAAGAATGCTTTAAATTGACTCTAAATTTTTTGAATTTCACTCTGCCGATGCCGAGTTATCGCTAAGTGAAAATTATCGCGCACGGTTAGGAAGAAGCGTTTGGACAGGAAAACTGTCATTTCCTATTACCATAGGAAATGAGTATACCAGGAAAACCACAAAATTTGTTCCATTTCAACTACGTCTCAACATCGAGTTTCTCAACGCCGCGAATTTCAATTCTGAGGGTCTATTATGACGTGGCAAACTGGAATGAAACAATCCACCACTACTAACCGAAAATTGGATTTCCCCGCAGTGTAGCCAGTCCTCCCAGTGTCAATACATGGGAATGATCAGCCGTGACTACCAGCAGCGTCTCGGTGAGGTCGACCTCCTTCTTGACCGCCTGCACTGCCTCCTCCATTGCCAGTGTCTCGTCCAGTGCACGATAAGCATTATTATAGTGATGAGCATGATCTATCCTTCCACCTATAAAAACAAAGGGGGGAAAATTTCTCAGTTTCCAGCGATTTTGTCGTCTTACGAATGATACCATCAATTTTTATCTCCCCATAAAAATTAAACTGAATGGGATTTTTAAATTCAGAATCTTCCAGTTGAAAATCACAATTGATCATTTTCCAGTGTTTCTTAACATTAAATTTTCTCCATAACGAGTGATTCTAGAGAAAAAAGTCACAAAACATTTTTTGTAGAACACTTTCCGCTCTACAAAAAAGGTTGTATGACATTTTCCTCTAGAACTAGTCTTTCATGAGATAAATGACAATTAACAAAAATGAAATTTTAATTGTCATTTTTTTTTCAATTCACAACAAAAAAAGTCGTGCGATGTTTCTTCTCTCAAGAAATTGCCTCAAAGAACCCCATCACCCCCCCCCCCCCCCCTCCATCCCTCA